ATTGGTTCAGAGCTGGCAGGCCATGTGGCCAGGTGACGAACGTGTCATCTACGTACCTCTTCCACGAGGACGGACGTAGAGTGGATGTCTGGATGGCATCTGTCTCAAATTTATCCGTGAAAACATTCGCTACCATTGTCAATAAGGGAGAACCCGTTGGGGTACTTTCCTCTTGTTTGTAGAATGTAACATTCCAGGTGAAGTAAGTATTGGTAAGGCAGTGCCTCATCAAAGTTGGCACATCAGAATTCAATCCCTGTTTGACCAAGTCTTCAATGATTGCAGTGGTGTCAGGCACAGGTACCGTCTGTCTCTCTCTGTGTGTGTGTGTCTCTTTGTGTCTCTCTCTCTCCATGTGTATCTCTTGCTGACTTTTTTATCCTTTTGCCCGGTTCTCTGACATTGACATGCCAATCTTCTCATGTGGCACAACCTCCGGTTGCTGGAGCCTCACATTGACATTAAAATTCCTTCTCTAGCTCGGCCCACCAAAAGCCAATATAACCTCTTGTTGCAGCAGCTCTTTCTCCTACGTGGGCAGTTCTCCTGGTGCGCTTGTTTCACCTGATGACGGTTGCTTGTGTTGCGATCGAAACGTCGTGATCTATTAATTTTCTATCAACGTGACTTGACGGAAAGAACCAAAGAGTATCGTCTCTCTACTCACATTGTTACACTCACACGCTGCACACTCATTCACTTATTTAAAGTCACCACTCAACCCACAATCACAACACCTCTGCCACTGTGAGACTCCTGTGACGCTGCTCACACATCAGCAGAACCTGCAGGACGCGTGGGGTGGTGCTGAGGTGGTGGTGTAGAGTGTGGGTACCCCCAGCACTCACAACCAGGCCTGTGTGTGTGTGGTGGTGCTGGGGTGTAGGGGTAGAGTGTGGGTACCCCCAGCACTCACAACCAGGCCTCTGTGTGTGTGTGGTGGTGCTGGGGTGTAGGGGTAGAGTGTGGGTACCCCCACCACTCACAACCAGGCCTGTGTGTGTGTGGTGGTGCTGGGGTGTAGGGGTAGAGTGTGGGTACCCCCACCACTCACAACCACGCCTCTGTGTGTGTGGTGGTGCTGGGGTGTAGGGGTAGAGTGTGGGTACCCCCAGCACTCACAACCAGGCCTGTGTGTGTGTGGTGGTGCTGGGGTGTAGGGGTAGAGTGTGGGTACCCCCAGCACTCACAACCTCGCCTCTGTGTGTGTGGTGGTGCTGGGGTGTAGGGGTAGAGTGTGGGTCGTGGGGGTAGTGGGGGCAGTGGGGTCGTGGGGAGTCGTGGGGGTAGTGGTGGTTGTAGGGGGTGTGGTGGTTGTGGGGCTCGTGGTGGTTGTAGGGTTCGTGGTAGTTGTAGGGTTCGTGGTGGTTGTAGGGTTCGTGGTGGTTGTAGGGTTCGTGGTAGTTGTAGGGCTCGTGGTAGTTGTAGGGTTCGTGGTAGTTGTAGGGTTCGTGGTAGTTGTAGGGCTCGTGGTGGTTGTAGGGTTCGTGGTAGTTGTAGGGCTCGTGGTGGTTGTAGGGTTCGTGGTGGTTGTAGGGTTCGTGGTAGTTGTAGGGCTCGTGGTAGTTGTAGGGTTCGTGGGGGTTGTAGGGTTCGTGGTAGTTGTAGGGCTCGTGGTGGTTGTAGGGTTCGTGGTAGTTGTAGGGTTCATGGTGGTTGTAGGGTTCGTGGTAGTTGTAGGGTTCGTGGTAGTTGTAGGGCTCGTGGTGGTTGTAGGGTTCGTGGTAGTTGTAGGGTTCGTGGTGGTTGTAGGGTTCGTGGTGGTTGTAGGGTTCGTGGTGGTTGTAGGGTTCGTGGTGGTTGTAGGGTTCGTGGTGGTTGTAGGGTTCGTGGTGGTTGTAGGGCTCGTGGTGGTTGTAGGGTTCGTGGTAGTTGTAGGGTTCGTGGTGGTTGTAGGGTTCGTGGTGGTTGTAGGGTTCGTGGTGGTTGTAGGGTTCGTGGTGGTTGTAGGGTTCGTGGTAGTTGTAGGGCTCGTGGTAGTTGTAGGGTTCGTGGTAGTTGTAGGGTTCGTGGTAGTTGTAGGGTTCGTGGTGGTTGTAGGGTTCGTGGTGGTTGTAGGGTTCGTGGTGGTTGTAGGGTTCATGGTGGTTGTAGGGTTCGTGGTGGTTATAGGGTTCGTGGTGGTTGTAGGGTTCATGGTGGTTATAGGGTTCGTGGTGGTTGTAGGGTTCGTGGTGGTTGTAGGGTTCGTGGTGGTTGTAGGGTTCGTGGTGGTTATAGGGTTCGTGGTGGTTGTAGGGTTCATGGTGGTTGTAGGGTTCGTGGTAGTTGTAGGGTTCGTGGTAGTTGTAGGGTTCGTGGTAGTTGTAGGGTTCATGGTGGTTGTAGGGTTCGTGGTGGTTGTAGGGTTCGTGGTGGTTGTAGGGTTCGTGGTGGTTGTAGGGTTCGTGGTGGTTGTAGGGTTCGTGGTGGTTGTAGGGTTCGTGGTAGTTGTAGGGCTCGTGGTAGTTGTAGGGTTCGTGGTAGTTGTAGGGTTCGTGGGGGTTGTAGGGTTCGTGGGGGTTGTAGGGTTCGTGGTGGTTGTAGGGTTCGTGGTAGTTGTAGGGTTCATGGTGGTTGTAGGGTTCGTGGTGGTTGTAGGGTTCGTGGTGGTTGTAGGGTTCGTGGTGGTTGTAGGGTTCGTGGTGGTTGTAGGGTTCGTGGTAGTTGTAGGGCTCGTGGTAGTTGTAGGGTTCGTGGTAGTTGTAGGGTTCATGGTGGTTGTAGGGTTCGTGGTGGTTGTAGGGTTCGTGGTAGTTGTAGGGTTCGTGGTGGTTGTAGGGTTCGTGGGGGTTGTAGGGTTCGTGGGGGTTGTAGGGTTCGTGGTGGTTGTAGGGTTCGTGGTGGTTGTAGGGTTCGTGGTAGTTGTAGGGTTCGTGGGGGTCAGGTTTCAGTGTAGTTATATTTGTTTGGTATCTCCCTGTGAGCCGCAAGCGACCAGCACCTTTGAAGGTCGGCGCCCACGCACTCTTACCTAGCTACAGTAGGCCACGTGACCCGCATAGTTCACAGCGGAAAAAAAAACAAAGAACGAGAACCGAGATTGTCGGCTTTGTTTGTGACGGTGTTTGGAGGAATGCTGCGTGACAAGTGTCTGTGCAGGAACGCGTGTGACGGTGTCTGTGGAACGCGTGTGACGGTGTCTCTGGAACGCGTGTGACGGTGTTTGTGGACGCATGCTGCCTGTGACGGTGTCTGCAGGAACGCATCGCGGATTGGTTGCGGACGGTGCGGTGGGCGGCCCCTTGCCTCGTTGCGGCCAATGGGGTCGCCGGATGCCAACAGTGACGTCGTCGTGTCACCGGTCTGGTCTGGATATAAGAAGACACGGGACAGGAAGAGAGACAGAGACAAGAAGAGAGACAGAGACACGTGACAAGAAGAGAGACAGAGACACGTGACAAGAAGAGAGACACGTTACAATAAGAGAGACAGAGACACGTGATAATAAGAGAGACACGGGACAAGAAGAGAGACACGTGACAAGAAGAGAGACACGTGACAATTAGAGAGACACGTGACAATTAGAGAGACAGAGACACGTGACAAGAAGAGAGACACGTGACAATTAGAGAGACACGTGACAATTAGAGAGACAGAGACACGTGACAAGAAGAGAGACAGAGACACGTGACAAGAAGAGAGACACGTGACAATAAGAGAGACAGAGACACGTGACAAGAAGAGAGATAGAGACACGTGACAAGAAGAGAGACACGTGACAAGAAGAGAGACAGGGACACGTGACAAGAAGAGACAGAGACACGTGACAAGAAGAGAGACACGTGACAAGAAGAGAGACACGTGACAATAAGAGAGACAGAGACACGTGACAAGAAGAGAGACAGAGACACGTGACAAGAAGAGAGACAGAGACACGTGACAAGAAGAGAGACACGTGACAAGAAGAGAGACAGAGACACGTGACAAGAAGAGAGACACGTGACAAGAAGAGAGACACGTGATGAGAAGAGAGACACGTGACAGGAGGCTGGGGGTGAGTAGTCATCAACATCAGCACCTTTATTTATGCTGTACACAAAGTGTGAATAGATCCGTCTTGAAGGTATTCATGACATCGTGATAATATTTGCTGTTCTATTCATCAAATCTGTTCGTAAACATGTACGACACGTTTGAATTAACGTATTTAATGCATCCTCAATAATCGACAATATATAAAACTAAATAACTGATAATGACAGAAATGTAAACAAATATTCTTATTTTTTCTACTTTGATACTGGCCAAAAATGTCCCATGATGAATTCTATAATTTTCTAAAGTAAAAACATATCACGTTTGTTGCACCTATTTAAATAACGAGTGCACTATGGTTGTTAATCGAGGACGTGTAAAGTCAACAGCTGTTCAACATCTTCGGTTATGAAACCTAAACAAAAATGCCGCCAATGTTGTAGGAAATCTTCAAAGCTTGATTCGGATATTCTGTGATGTCACTCCCCGTACGCACTGCTTCAGACCTCCTTTGCCAGTACCAACATATAATAATAGGGTTTTTTGTTTGCATTTTGACTGCAAGTATTGTGGTTGATGCAGTAAACATGAATCCTCGTAAGAAGGTTTCAGTTTTATTGCCAGAAAAAAGGGGAAAAACCCTTTTATTATTACATTTTGGTACTGGCAAAGGAGGTCTAATGATGATGTAGATGCTCACCCCGAGCCCTCATTACTTTGATAGTGGCATTGTCTTTGAGCTGTGTGAAAAAGGGGAAAACCCCTTTTATTATATCTAGATTTGAAGCTTTTGTGACTGCAAGGATTCATACTCTTTGCTTTTTTTCGGTAAAGTCACGTAGGTAAAGTCACGTAGGTGACTTTACCTACGTGACTTTACCGATAAAACCCCAAGAGTATGAATCCTATTATTATATTTTGCTACTGGCAAAGGAGGTCTAATGATGTAGATGCTCACCCCGAGCCCTCATTACTTTGATAGTGGCATTGTCTTTGAGCTGTGGTGACGCCTTCTGGCGTCACGTGGTCGAGCACCAATTGGGTCGAGGCTCAAAAGAAAACCGTGGTGGTGAGTGGAGCGAGAGATGCGATGAACCACTCCCTTCCGTGTTCATCAGGAGACGGAGGCACCATGAAGTGGCTCCTGGTCGCAGCGGCGTTCATCTCCCTCCTGCGTGAGTTCGCACCGAGAAGCACTCACTCAGCACACCTGGGGTGGTCTCCTTCAGACCCCTTTCCCACCGGCACACCCGAGCCGTGCCAGCCCAGGGCCCTCACGGCCCTGGTGGTTTTCCACTGACACAACCGAGCCGTGCCAGCCCAGGGCCCTCACGGCCCTGGTGGTTTTCCACTGAGACAACCGAGCCGTGCCAGCCCAGGGCCCTCACGGTACTGGTGGTTTTCCACTGACACACCCGAGCCGTGCCGGCGTAGGTCCCTCACTGTCCTGGTGGTTTTCCCCCTGAAGATCGCAGCGCTGAGCCCGAACCAGACCGCGCCGGCCTCGCAGGACATCCGACACTCGCCCAGGGCCAAGCAGGGCCAGATGCAGAATTCATGATGATCGTTGAACATGCATCTCGACTCGTTCATTGCGTGTGACATCAGCGCTCCTGATGCCGCACCGGGCTGGCTCAGCACGTAGAGCTTTACAGGCCGGCCGCGATGAAGCTTACACAGCAGGGAGGGGATGGGAACTTCAACCAGCACCCAGCGGCAGGGCAAACAGTGGGAGTGGGAGGGAAAAGCCCCTGGGCAGATAAGGAGTTGACTTAAGTGGGTGGGAGCGAGGGGATTATCGATGAGTCAACGGCGAGGAACGCAGGCACAGAGACAATGGGACTGGGGGGGGGGGATGACGTGACCTCCCCTCCCCCCAACGGCCAGAGCGCTCAAAACGGCCGCAAAGAGGATCCGATTGGATGCTCAGGATGACGTCATGTGACCCGGGGGTTAACGGGCTTGGGAACATAAGGGGGCCGCAGGAGGGAAAATTAGATAGAGTCCTTCTGGAGCAGTGGGAGAGAACACCAGCCGCCCTCAGCGTCCGTGGGACGCCTGCAGGGTGCAGCTGGAAAGGTGGGTCAGTACGGGAGGGGGCCAATTCAACCCAGCTCGCAGTCAGCTCGAGCCTGGGGGATAGACGCACTCCGCGACGGGTCGGTGATAGGAGGAAGGGTGCTGGCTGGAGGTGGCCGTAAACGGGGGTTCAACTATTCGCTCCGGGAAATAAATCTTAGCACAGACTGACGTTGTGACGCGTGGTGCGAGTGAAGAACGGCGGGGCAGCGATTGGCGTACGATGGTGTGTGGGTGACTATAAATCAGTGTGGGTGGGACACGCGTGCACACACAAATATATAATTAAATAGAGGGATGCTTGACCGCGCTGCGCGCATAGATTGATTGATTGATTCCGAGCGCCCGTTGGCTTGTTGACACAACGGCTTAGTAGAAATAATTGATTAACTCTACACAGCCACGAACGGGCTTGTTGACACAACGGCTTAGTAGAAATAATTGATTAACTCTACACAGCCACGAGTGGGGGTGGAGGGGGGGAGATCAGCCCCCACGTAATGGGGGGTGGGGAAGGGGGGCATTAGCCCCCACAAATGACGCTCATTTTAGGTCACTGCTCTTCAGTGAGCTCCTCGTTTTGTTATTCACCGACACTTGGTCAGTGTCAACGTGAATGTTACAGCGCCGCTCTGTGTGTAACGCCTGCATCTAGACCACCTCTGGCGATGCTATTGCTGAGTAAACCTGTGGTGAGCACTTTAACAACAGTAATCGGTCCCTATCTAGACATCTGTATTGTCTATACAGTGATAGGGTATTGCTGATCTCTCTCTCTGTGGAGACATCTCTCATGAGAGTGCCCGGTCTCTCTCTCTCTCTCCCTGTGTAGCTGTGAAGTCTGCTGTGAAACTGCAGCTCTCCCTACCGGAGAGCGTGGATGTGACGGAGGGGGAGAGCGTGACTCTTCCCTGCTCATTCTCCCCACCGTCGACCGTCTCGAGTGGCCTCTACATCACGTGGCTCACGATGCCCACATGCTACATAGTAAGTAAGCACAGATGATATCATCAATGTGAGAACCTCCTTCCATGTCAACCCTAAATATACAACTCAGTAACTAGAAGTAATGCAATTCTATTTGGGGTTTGCTTGGTTCCAGAATAATAAAATAGTCGCTTAATCACCCAGGAATGTCGCACCGAGTCGCAAGACCCTATTAATGAGAAGGGTCTTGACCATTTGAGTCCGTGAGGGTTCGGAATCATATTGAGATGAAACCGGATAACCCAGAGAAAAACCCCGTCACACAAAGGGATAATGGGCAAAGCTCTACACAGACTCAATCCATAGATAGAGAGAATCGTTAACACTATCTACAAATCAAATCCATGGCTGTACCACAATCTCCTGGCCATCTTGCAGCCCAAGCCTACAACCCCTGGCATCCCCAGTCAAAGTATTAAGAAAGCTCAACCCCTCTAGATTTGAAGCTTTCGTGACATCAAGGATCCATACTCTTTGGTTTTATTCGGTAAAGTCACGTCGGTAAAACAAAGTAAAATAACAAAAAATCACGTCGTTTCGGCCACAACACAAGTGGCCTTCATCAGGTGAAGGGACCGGACAGTCCAGAGGACAGCGCTGGAGTGAACACAGCCAAGCCCAGACCGCGTCTTTCAAGCTTGTTGTCGCGACATCTTTTGAGGAAGCTCAGCGTCTCGATGAGCTGTGACTTCTTGTCCCGTTGTCTGTTGAAAGCTCTTGTGGCTATTAAGATCCAATTTAGTTCAGGTTCATTGTGATTTCATCATAGTTCAGGTTCATTGTGATTTGATCATAGCAGGATTGTGGTTAATATTACAATTTGTGCTCTGTGCCGTTCCAGATCTATGACTCGCAACTTGGGAATCCCTGGCTTGGAAGAGCTGAGTTTGCGGGAGACGAGGAAAAGGGGGACTGCTCCCTCAGGCTCCTCAATGTCTCCAGGACCCTCAGCCCCGTGTTCAAGTGCGATGTCATTTGTACCAGCTGTGGGACGAACGACTGGAAGGTGGAACGAGAGGTGAAGCTGAACGTGACGGTTGCAGGTGAATGAGTGGGGAGCGTCGCTCGTGCAGATGGAGGTGGGTGGGGAGGTCAAGGGTCACAGATCACAGGGTGGAGGGTGCAGAGCTGGAGAGAGAATCTCGCTGCTGCACGTGAAGCCGTGTTGAGTGAGTGGTCTCTCCCTGCTGCACGTGAAGCCGTGTTGAGTGAGTGGTCTCTCCCTGCTGCACGTGAAGCCGTGTTGAGTGAGTGGTCTCTCCCTGCTGCACGTGAAGCCGTGTTGAGTGAGTGGTCTCTCCCTGCTGCACGTGAAGCCGTGTTGAGTGAGTGGTCTCTCCCTGCTGCATGTGAAGCCGTGTTGAGTGAGTGGTCTCTCCCTGCTGCACGTGAAGCCGTGTTGAGTGAGTGGTCTCTCCCTGCTGCACGTGAAGCCGTGTTGAGTGAGTGGTCTCTCCCTGCTGCAAGTGAAGCCGTGTTGAGTGAGTGGTCTCTCCCTGCTGCTGCACGTGAAGCCGTGTTGAGTGAGTGATCTCTGTTGAGTGAGTGGTCTCTCCCTGCTGCACGTGAAGCCGTGTTGAGTGAGCGGTCTCTCCCTGCTGCAAGTGAAGCCGTGTTGAGTGAGTGGTCTATCCCTGCTGCACGTGAAGCCGTGTTGAGTGAGTGGTCTCTCCCTGCTGCACGTGAAGCCGTGTTGAGTGAGCGGTCTCTCCCTGCTGCACGTGAAGCCGTGTTGAGTGAGTGGTCTCTCCCTGCTGCACGTGAAGCCGTGTTGAGTGAGTGGTCTCTCCCTGCTGCAAGTGAAGCCGTGTTGAGTGAGTGGTCTCTCCCTGCTGCTGCACGTGAAGCCGTGTTGAGTGAGTGATCTCTGTTGAGTGAGTGGTCTCTCCCTGCTACACGTGAAGCCGTGTTGAGTGAGTGGTCTCTCCCTGCTGCAAGTGAAGCCGTGTTGAGTGAGTGTTCTCTTCCTGCTGCACGTGAAGCCGTGCTGAGTGAGTGGACTCTCCCTGCTACACGTGAAGCCGTGTTGAGTGAGTGGACTCTCCCTGCTACACGTGAAGCCGTATTGAGTGAGTGGTCTCTCCCTGCTGCACGTGAAGCCGTGCTGAGTGAGTGGTCTCTCCCTGCTGCACGTGAAGCCGTGTTGAGTGAGTGGACTCTCCCTGCTACACGTGAAGCCGTATTGAGTGAGTGGACTCTCCCTGCTACACGTGAAGCCGTATTGAGTGAGTGGTCTCTCCCTGCTGCACGTGAAGCCGTGTTGAGTGAGTGGTCTATCCCTGCTGCACGTGAAGCCGTGTTGAGTGAGTGGTCTCTCCCTGCTGCACGTGAAGCCGTGTTGAGTGAGTGGTCTCTCCCTGCTGCACGTGAAGCCGTGTTGAGTGAGTGGTCTATCCCTGCTGCACGTGAAGCCGTGTTGAGTGAGTGGTCTCTCCCTGCTGCAAGTGAAGCCGTGTTGAGTGAGTGGTCTCTCCCTGCTGCTGCACGTGAAGCCGTGTTGAGTGAGTGATCTCTGTTGAGTGAGTGGTCTCTCCCTGCTGTACGTGAAGCCGTGTTGAGTGAGTGGTCTCTCCCTGCTGCAAGTGAAGCCGTGTTGAGTGAGTGTTCTTTTCCTGCTGCACGTGAAGCCGTGCTGAGTGAGTGGACTCTCCCTGCTACACGTGAAGCCGTGTTGAGTGAGTGGACTCTCCCTGCTACACGTGAAGCCGTATTGAGTGAGTGGTCTCTCCCTGCTGCACGTGAAGCCGTGTTGAGTGAGTGGTCTCTCCCTGCTGCACGTGAAGCCGTGCTGAGTGAGTGGTCTCTCCCTGCTGCACGTGAAGCCGTGTTGAGTGAGTGGACTCTCCCTGCTACACGTGAAGCCGTATTGAGTGAGTGGACTCTCCCTGCTACACATGAAGCCGTATTGAGTGAGTGGTCTCTCCCTGCTGCACGTGAAGCCGTGTTGAGTGAGTGGTCTCTCCCTGCTGCACGTGAAGCCGTGTTGAGTGAGTGGTCTATCCCTGCTGCACGTGAAGCCGTGTTGAGTGAGTGGTCTCTCCCTGCTGCACGTGAAGCTGTGTTGAGTGAGTGGTCTCTCCCTGCTGCATGTGAAGCCGTGTTGAGTGAGCGGTCTCTCCCTGCTGCACGTGAAGCCGTGTTGAGTGGGTGGTCTCTCCCTGCTGCACGTGAAGCCGTGTTGAGTGAGTGGTCTCTCCCTGCTGCACGTGAAGCCGTGTTGAGTGAGTGGTCTCTCCCTGCTGCACGTGAAGCCGTGTTGAGTGAGTGGTCTCTCCCTGCTGCACGTGAAGCCGTGTTGAGTGAGTGGTCTCTCCCTGCTGCTGCACGTGAAGCCGTGTTGAGTGAGTGATCTCTGTTGAGTGAGTGGTCTCTCCCTGCTGTACGTGAAGCCGTGTTGAGTGAGTGGTCTCTCCCTGCTGCAAGTGAAGCCGTGTTGAGTGAGTGTTCTTTTCCTGCTGCACGTGAAGCCGTGTTGAGTGAGTGGTCTCTCCCTGCTGCACGTGAAGCTGTGTTGAGTGAGTGGTCTCTCCCTGCTGCATGTGAAGCCGTGTTGAGTGAGCGGTCTCTCCCTGCTGCACGTGAAGCCGTGTTGAGTGGGTGGTCTCTCCCTGCTGCACGTGAAGCCGTGTTGAGTGAGTGGTCTCTCCCTGCTGCACGTGAAGCCGTGCTGAGTGAGTGGTCTCTCCCTGCTGCACGTGAAGCCGTGTTGAGTGAGTGGTCTCTCCCTGCTGCACGTGAAGCCGTGTTGAGTGAGTGGTCTCTTCCTGCTGCTGCACGTGAAGCCGTGTTGAGTGAGTGGTCTATCCCTGCTGCACGTGAAGCCGTGTTGAGTGAGTGGTCTCTCCCTGCTGCACGTGAAGCTGTGTTGAGTCGCTGAGTGAGGCGGTGGTGCTGGGTGTGAGTGGGGGTCTCGTTGAGCCCCCCCCCCCCACTCTCTCTCAGTCTTTGGTTCTTGACACCGCCGTCCGTGTCTCTGCAGCTGCACGATCACGCGGTGAGACCTCGCCCACACCACGTGTCCACTCCTGGTGGGACACGGTGTTGATGGTGATAGTGGTGGCGGGCGTGATCCTGGCGTCTGCGGCTGTCATCCTCTTCATCAAGATGCACCCTTGGTCGTCTGGGAGCTCCCCCCGCTCACGCAGGTGGCTCCACACCCCCCTAGCCCAGAATCCCCCCCAGCCCAGAACGTGAGCACAGGAGGCTGGGCCGGGTTCTCAGAGGCGCTGACTCTGAGTCAGACGCTCAGTCGGCACCACTGAGACCCTTGGCGTCATTCCCCCGTGAAATGTGTGCAGGCGTTGCCGGGAGCAGGCACCGTGCTCCCGGATTGTAAACTCGTGTTTTTATCGTGATTTTAACCCTTTGTCTTTTTATATTTCAGTGGCGATGGGAAGGCAGACATGCACGGTGGTGTGAAGGATAATGGGCATCCACTGATGGAGGTGAATGTGAAGGAAAATGGGCATCCACTGACGATGGTGAACGTGAAGTAGAATGGACATCCACTGACGATGGTGAACGTGAAGGATAATGGGCATCCACTGATGGAGGTGAATGTGAAGGATAATGGGCATCCACTGACGATGGTGAATGTGAAGGATAATAGGCATCCACTGACGATGGTGAACGTGAAGGAGAATGGACATCCACTGACGATGGTGAATGTGAAGGAGAATGGGCATCCACTGACGATGGTGAACGTGAAGGAGAATGGGCATCTACTGATGATGGTGAATGTGAAGGAGAATGGGCATCCACTGACGATGGTGAACGTGAAGTAGAATGGACATCCATTGACGATGGTGAACGTGGAGGATAATGGGCATCCACTGACGATGGTGAACGTGAAGGATAATGGGCATCCACTGACGATGGTGAACGTGAAGGATAATGGGCATCCACTGATGGAGGTGAATGTGAAGGATAATAGGCATCCACTGACGATGGTGAACGTGAAGGATAATGGGCATCCACTGACGATGGTGAACGTGAAGGAGAATGGGCATCCACTGACGATGGTGAACGTGAAGGAGAATGGGCATCCACTGACGATGGTGAACGTGAAGGATAATGGGCATCCACTGACGATGGTGAACGTGAAGGAGAATGGGCATCCACTGACGATGGTGAATGTGAAGGATAATGGGCATCCACTGACGATGGTGAACGTGAAGGAGAATGGGCATCCACTGACGATGGTGAATGTGAAGGATAATGGGCATCCACTGACGATGGTGAACGTGAAGGATAATGGGCATCCACTGACGATGGTGAATGTGAAGGAGAATGGGCATCCACTGACGATGGTGAATGTGAAGGATAATGGGCATCCACTGACGATGGTGAACGTGAAGGATAATGGGCATCCACTGACGATGGTGAACGTGAAGGAGAATGGGCATCCACTGATGGAGGTGAATGTGAAGGAGAATGGGCATCCACTGATGGTGAATGTGAAGGAGAATGGGCATCCACTGATGATGGTGAACGTGAAGGAGAATGGGCATCCACTGACGATAGTGAATGTGAAGGAGAATGGGCATCCACTGATGGAGGTGAATGGACACTAAGGGGGGACAACGGAGACAAAGGCACGAACGCCGTTTGAAGAAATCTTCCGTGGGCTCCCCCCGTGACCACCCTGGCCGCCACGTGGAGCCGCTCTCTTACCCACAGTGCCATGCGTGAGTGCAGTGCTGACTGCCTGTGCTTCATGAGCTGATTGTTTACAGACCGTGCTTTGACCATCTCTCTCCCTCTCTGTGACTCTCCACACTCCTCTTTGCCCACTTCAAATCCCTCACCGCTAAATTCCACACGATCCAGAATCCTGCTGCTGCCACAACTCACAGCTTCTGTAAACGAAACCTCATCACAGACAATCCTCAAGATTCCCCCACTGGCTCCCAACCGGGTCCCCAATCGACTGAGACATCGCACTCTCCACCTACACGATCCTCCTAAGACTCTCCGTTACCTCCCCTCTCTGTTTCAGGGGATCCCCCAGGTATGTCTGTTATGGACCGGAGAGTTGCGACTCATAACGAAACGACGCATAGCGGGGACTTCCCCCCATAGGAATGCTACTCCGTGTGAATGGAGGTGGGATAGGGACCGAAAGGGCATAAACATTGCCTATGCACCACAAAGCGGAGCAGGTTTTTTCTCGGCGCCGAAACCGACACCGACACCGAATTTCCGGTCGGCCTCTACTGAACACTTTTGTTGAAAACCAGCTTTGAGCATTTCGAAGCAGTCCCCTACACATTCAACGTATTCCTTGTCTCAATAGAACAAGAACGTGGCATTTTACAGGAAAGATTCGAGCAGAAAAAGTTTTTAATGGCGAAAAAGCACAATCTTAAACAGCATTATAGAAAGATTTTTACCTTAATCTATGAGTTGCGCTGAAGGGTTGCGTCGATTACCACGAGCACTCGTAGCTACGCACGCCAGAGAACACCATGGCGCTTAAGGTGGCGGCTTATGCGCGAGTTGTACAGTACCTCTATACCCCCCCCCCCCACCCCGAGCCAAGTTTAAAACGGTCATTCAAAATCGATCATCGTCACCGGTGTTGGTCGTGAGACTGAAAAAACATTACGTGTAGCACATCCAGTCAGACCAACAACACAGTTAGACACTTCCTGGCGGACCACGAATTTCAGAAGAACGTTAAATTTCGTGTTCAACCTTTGGATTGCACATACCAGCATAGATAGAATGAAAAATACGAGGTACACGGTCAGTAGAAATACATATACAAGTCCACCAAGAGGTAAGGAGGGAGGAAAGACGGACAGGGAGGCAGAGAGAGAGGGGAGGGGGTTGGAGGGATGAACAGAAGCTTAAATAGGAAATAAAGTTGGAGGGGGGGAGGGGCCAGAGCGAGAGCGGCAGCTCAAACACGCAACATCTTACACAAACAAAACTGCAGCTCAAAAAATGACCACCTCTTGCAAATACAAAACGGCAGCTCAAAAAATGACCACCTCTTGTAAATACAAAACGGCATCTCAAAAAATGACCACCTCTTGTAAATACAAAACGGCAGCTCAAAAAATGACCACCTCTTGTAAATACAAAACGGCAGCTCAAAAAAGGGCACATCTTACACATGATTACAACGGTAACTTCCCCGTAGAAGTGTGATAATAAAGTATTAAAGCTTTCGTGACTGCATAAAATTACTCATTGGTTTTTTCGGTAAAGTCACCTCCGTGATTTGTTCTTGACACCTGATGAAGATCGCTTGCGTTGTGATCGAAACGTCGTGATGGTTTTTTGTTTTAATATAATTTTATTGTATTTCTACATACGTGACTTTACCGATAAAACCACTGAGTGACTCAAAGGGTTCCTGCACTGGGAATGTTTGACGCATTTTGTCACGAATGATTCTTGTACGTGCCTTAAACTTCTCATAAAGTACTATATATAATGTGCATTGTATTTTTTCTACTGGTAAATTATCTCGCTGACCCATGCTGTGTGTATTTACGGATGGGAAGTATGGATAGAGAGGAGTGGTTCCTGACCTCTGGATCGCAGTCCACAGCAATCCACAAGGCCATGGGAATTGCTCTGCAGAGCGCTTGAAGACACCACGATGTTCCTCATGAAGCCATCCTTTTCTTACTGCAAGTGTTTCGTCACGTTTGTTTAGAGGGTTGGCAGTGAACGTGGGTCTAGAAAGGGTTGGAAAAACTGATGTAGAAGACCCATAGTTTCAGTGACCATAAGCCACTGTTTTAGACACCTAACGCATTTAATGTTTAGTATTGGGAAATATTTCTCATTAAGGTCCATTTTATGTATTTGTGGTTGTAAATAGTTTCATAAAATCTGTATATTGGAAAAAAATACTTTTTTAAAAGCATTGGTGGAGAAAATCCGTGATTAACAAAAGTTGTGTCAAAGAAACAAAAGCTGTGTCAGAGAATTTGCACTTTTATTTATTCAGTAAATGGTTTAAGACCCATAAGGCAATAACAATATTAAACATTGTTGCAAAGAACACCGAGTCTTGTCTGTCAATCATCTCATCGTTGTTCACACCGTCCTCAAGCCCACGAGGGATCCCAGCTGGTCGCTACTCCCAGGACGGTGAGAAAAGTTACAGGCCAGCCCGGTGCAAGGTTCGCCCCTGTCAATCACCATCAGTGATGACACCTAGAGACACCTACAACACGCATGGTGTCAATCATCATCAGTGATGACAATTAGAGACACCTACAACACGCATGGTGTCAATCACCATCAGTGATGACAATGAGAGACACCTACAACACGCATGGTGTCAATCACCATCAGTGATGACACTTAGAGACACCTACAACATCCATGGTGTCAATCACCATCAGTGATGACACCTAGAGACACCTACAACACGCATGGTGTCAATCATCATCAGTGATGACAATTAGAGACACCTACAACACGCATGGTGTCAATCATCATCAGTGATGACACCTAGAGACACCTACAACACGCATGGTGTCAATCACCATCAGTGATGACACCTAGAGACACCTACAACACGAATGGTGACAATCATCATCAGTGATGACAATTAGAGACACCTACAACACGCATGGTGACAATCACCATCAGTGATGACACCTAGAGACACCTACAACACGAATGGTGACAATCACCATCAGTGATGACACCTAGAGACACCTACAGCACGCATGGTGTCAATCACCATCAGTGATGACACTTAGAGACACCTACAACACGCATGGTGTCAATCACCATCAGTGATGACATCTAGAGACACCTACAGCACGCATGGTGTCAATCACCATCTGTGATGACACTTAGAGACACCTACAACACGCATGGTGTCAATCACCATCAGTGATGACAATTAGAGACACCTACAACACGCATGGTGTCAATCACCATCAGTGATGACAATTAGAGACACCTACAACACGCATGGTGTCAATCACCATCAGTGATGACACTTAGAGACACCTACAACACGCATGGTGTCAATCACCATCAGTGATGACACTTAGAGACACCTACAACAAGCATGGTGACAATCACCATCAGTGATGATAATTAGAGACACCTACAACACGCATGGTGTCAATCACCATCAGTGATGACACTTAGAGACACCTACAACACGCATGGTGTTAATCACCATCAGTGATGACACTTAGAGACACCTACAACATGCATAGTGTCAATCACCATCAGTGATGACACTTAGAGACACCTACAACACGCATGGTGTCAATCACCATCAGTGATGACAATTAGAGACACCTACAACATGCATGGTGTCAATCAACATCAGTGATGGCACTTAGAGACACCTACAACACGCATGGTGACAATCACCATCAGTGATGACAATTACAGACACCTACAACACGCATGGTGTCAATCACCATCAGTGATGACAATTAGAGACACCTACAACACGCATGGTGTCAATCACCATCAGTGATGACACTTAGAGACACCTACAACATGCATGGTGTCAATCACCATCAGTGATGA